CCATCCCCCTACCACCCCCCAAAAAAAAAACTGAAGTTTGTTTTTAAAAAATATTTTCAATTTCAAAAATTATTTTCTACTTTAGTAAAAATAAAAGATATTTCTCAAAAACATTTTTCATTCACAAATCAAACACTAAAAATCTTTTTCGAAAAATATTTTCTACTCATCAACCAAACATGAGAAAATAAGTCAAAAATCTACTTGTTTTTCAGGAAAACATTTTCCTTCGTACCAAACACACCCATAGTTCTAAAATGTTTTCCCACAAATTTAGAGCCCAACAATTTCAAGAAAGCCTTCAAATCAAAATCCAGAAAAGAGAAGCAACTTTAAGAGGGTGTTTGGCTTTGATTTAAAAGTTGGTCAAACCTATTTTTAAGTAAGTTTTTGACTTTTGAAAGTGTTTAACAAATATACAAATAACTTAAAATAAGCCAAAAATGACTTAAAATAAGTCAGGGAGTGTTTGACAAAGTTAAAAATAACTGTAAAATAAGTTTAAAAACTACTTTTTAAGCCAATCCAAATGAGCTCAATATTACTGCTGTGGAGTTTCATTTATTTATGAAAAAATTACGTAATTAGGTGAATATAAAATATGCATTTACAATACACCACCACTATAGTTTGAAAGAATTATAATTTGTAGTTATAGTTAAGGTTTTGTTGCTATTTTCTCTCCTCTCTTCCTCTGTCTCTTGCCTCTCTCCTTTATCTGCACTTTCGCTCTCTTCTCTCCTCTCTTTGCCATCTCTCCCTCGCCTCTATCCTCTCCTTGCCCTCTCTCTCTTTGCCTCTCTCTACCCCCACCCTACAATTGTATTTTAAATACAAATTATATTTGTTAATACAATTGATACAATGTCGATACAAATAATAATAATCAATTATATAAATACAAATGTTTAACTGGATACAATATTGACACAAATGTATTCACTAATACAATTTATTTAGTGATGCAAATTGTATTCGGATACAACTTGTATTCATTGATATTTGATGCACATACATACTAATTACATATATATATACACACACACACACATATCCAACAAATATACAAATACAATTGGTGATATATATGATATATATACAATTATCCAGTAGATATACAAATAAAATTCGTCTCTCTCCTCTCTTTACCCCTTCTCCCAATCTCGCTCGCCTCTCTCCCCTTATAACATATAGTTGCAAATCATTATTAAGCAAATTATAACTATTTTCCGTGATTATGTCTCTAATCTTAGATATTTTTGAAATTTCCTGTTTATTTATCCATTTTATTCGTTAATTATCCATATTTTTAGTAGATAATATGGATAGACGTACATTTAGCACATTTTATATTCAGTCCATTTTTTAGAAATCACATTGCGAACATTCTAATGATTTTTGGGGGTTTTGGCTTGTAAAACTTGGAATTACTGGGTTTTTTATCTTTGTATTTTGGAATTGAAATTTGAAGCTCAATTTGATTCAATGCAACACAATTCATTTGGTATAATTCTTTTCCTTTCCACAATGAGTAGCTAAAAACTCCATAATTTTAGAGGTGTGCAATGTAATTGGGTACTAAATTGTTTGTGGGTCTTTGTATTTGCTCAATTAATTGTTGATTAATAATGAGTTCAATTACCTTATCATCTTTTCATGTATGATTTGAGGTTGCAAACTCAAATCTAGTTGTAGATCTCTATGTTTGCTTGTGAAATGTGCTTGGTGTGGATGAGTTAATTGTCAATCGTTTATTAAGTTCAATCGTTAGTTTTCTTGAAAAATGAAACTATATTGAGCTATTGGATTAGCTTTGTTACACATGTTGAGGTTAGACAAAACTCTCATGAAAGATGATTTGTGATTGATAAATGCTTATCATATTTGATAATCTAATCTATCTATTAAGAATCAACTATGTTGAGCAACACAATTACCCACATTCAAAATTGATACTCAATTACTCACACTCCTAGGATTCCTTTCTTACTTGTGAAATTCCCTTGCCCTTTCCTCTAGTTAACAATTCGTTATTCAATCTCACTATTGATAATTTGAAATCTCTTGAATTTATATATATATATGTTAACGTTGATTAAATAATTCACAAAATTTAGTACATGAGTGTACTTCGTGATTGAAGTCTAGCTTTACCATTACTTGTGGGTTTCGACCCCAACTCTTAGTTGGATTATTTATTGCTAACGATCACGTATACATTGAATTAGAAAACGTATATTTGAGCGTTATCATTGGGGAAAGACGAGGGTTATCAAACCTCAAATGGTCCAAAAACATCATTTTATAGAATAAAAAAAATCAAAGAATCAAAGTTCAATTCTAGAACTAGACACGAAAATGGAGATAGAATAAGCAATACAAAGTAAAGAGAAGTGATTTACCTTGGAATCAGGTGAAATGTTAAGAAAAATGAGCTAAAACACCTTAACCTGAGCTCTTAACAATGGAAAATCATTCTTAGATAAATAAATAAAAAAGAGAGATATAACACTCACCGATAATCTGGTAAACTAGTGGTCACTATTGTGATGCTGCTAAAGCAAAGAAGGTACGTAGGAGTGATGGTCAATGAAGACCCCCAACTCCATAGGAGTGGACAGAAGCCCGAAGGTGTGAGAAATCTCCACCGTTGTGCTTTCCAGCTGACATCACCATCCTTCACTGGTGTTGATGGATC